AAAAAACTTAGTAATCAAATAAAATATTTATGACTATGATGCTACCTGTAGTATTACCATAGTGCTATTTCATCACAATGCTACAACATTAGAAATTAAAATAGGCAATGATACTATTAGTGTATGAAGTAGTAGGGAAAGAAAAAAAAAGAAAAAAAAATAACTTGAAGTGATATTGAAATATGTTTGAAATTGATGTTGAAATTTAATTTGTTAAAATTATGTTGAAATTTACTGTACGTAAAAAAAGAAAATTTGATCTGTCAAAAATATATCACGTCTTCATAAGATGTATAGATCATGCTTTTCCTGCATGGGGAGAATTTGTAAAACCCTTCGATCTTTGATCCCTTTCATTTTGCTTTCTGTATTAATGGATTAATGCAGAGTGTGAATTGATACGGTTATTGATTTTTTCGATAGCCCTGTCAACTTTTTCTGATCTGTATGAGATTTCACTTTTTTCTGAATATTTTTTGGGAGTGGTAAAATTTCCAAAAATGTGTACATTTTTTCAATCCACTTCTACTCGCGACCAGTGTTTAATGAAGATCAAATATGCTATCTAAAATGATTGCTTAAGAGGTATTTTGTTCTTAATTTCATCACCTTATCATGTTTTAATGCTCTTATACGACATTGCACTACATTCAAAATTTCACATTTTTGCAAATTCGCCCTTTTTTTAATAAAAGAATTATTGAATTAGATATACCTACATGCATGTTGAAGTTGGTTTTTCTGTGTTGCTTCAACACTTGACACTTAATTTCTTAGACAAGCAGTTATTATCCGCATTCATGAAACCTAGACAAGCAATTAGTCTTTGCATGAGCCGAGAGAAAAAAAATTGGGAAAAGTTGCGAATTTTCCGGAATGATTTTTGAAATCATTGGAGCCGGAAATAATCGAACGCTTGATATGTCGTCGGTTGGGACGATTGAGATGCGTCCCGATGTTCCCATGTGATTTGTATTTATATGCAAAATTTTGGGATGAATTTGGACATGGAGCGGTGGATGTAGATGGATTGACAACTACGGACAGTTTGTTGAAGGGTGGGTATCAGGATGTTCCTTGTTTGCAATATGGAGAAAATATTGATGTTGACGCAGCGATCAGTTTTGTTACATGACATTATCCCATCCAAAACCTTATGTAATTTCTACTTTATCATTTTAATACCTCATTTTATCTTACAAAAAATTAAAAGTTTTAAAAAATAAAATTGTCATTGCTTGCATTGATAAAGTAAAGGTGAATGACAAACAAAAATGTTTTGCATTTATTTGCGACTATTTGCTTTTCATGTTATTCCACAGATAGGAAAATAGTTAATACTTTCCAGAATTGGGTATTATTTAATGATATCCATTTGCTCTTCCATTCCCTTCACTCACTAAACCAATTTTTTAATATAAATCGTTGCTTTCAGAATTTACTATCATTTTTACTAATTTAACTGTAAAATAGTTAGTTAGAATTTCAAAAATATATTACAAACTATAAGTGTTTTTTAATTGTTAAACTTTTCACTAACGATAATCGTTTGATGTAAATTTGAATTAAAAATTTTCAAAATTTCACCTCAAAAAGTATTGTATCATAAATTAAACGATTAAATTTAATTTTTATTTGCTAAAAACATAAAGTATTATTACTTGCATCATTGCATTATCTTCACAAATATTTGATTTCATATGCTTCATTGCTTGCCAATATTCCAAATAGGGAAGAAATGTGACAAAATTAAATCATCCTTGGCTCATGAATATTAACGCCTTCCTTGGTCTTGTTTGCTATGCCTGTTTTTGCTATCTATTAATAAGCTTCCTCTTCATTTACATAATTGGATATTCTACTAGTATGTCTAATTTATGATACGGTACTTCCGCAGATAAATACAAATTGAATCCATTCTTGGTTTGCACATTTAGTGATTTTAGCAGTTTCATGGATTGCTCATTTCATTCAGCTGACATTTTTTTTTTTTTTTTGAAGTTTTATTGACAGAACTTGTCATCTAACTTATGCGATATTTCACATCAATATTTCGAATACTTTTAGAAACCAGAAATAACATATCCTAAATTAGATTTTCAATTATTATAAGCTAAAGCCATCTCTATAATTCATTTTCAAAAATGAAATTTTGATGACATGAAAACAAAAAGTAATTAACTATTAAGTTAGCAATCATAATTTATTTTCTAAATTACATACACCAAATTAGTGCTTGAAGGCTTCTATTGTTTGTAATGAAAATTTAGAAATTATATAAATGAAATGTAAGCTGATCAAAAAATGGTACTCTTGATAAAGTTCGTCTTTATAATCATTGGAATCAATTGATAACACTTCGCTAAATTTTTTGAATTGATTAAATTTCTCGGCAAAAATTGTATATTCTTACTAAAACAATATTTTGGGAAATACTTCTCAGGAAAAATTGCTAATATTAGTTTCACCGTTATGGAGAATAATGGTGAGGTGATAACGAAAAAATGTCGCATATGGAATCCCGCTTTGGATGATTGCTGTAATGCGATCAATAACAATGATAAGGACACGATTCCAGTTAATTTTCCAAGTGATCACATGTCTCAGGTTATTGAAAGATGTCCTTTTATCATTTATCGTTTTTAAATAGTGATTCGATTTCAGATTTTATAATGATTTATCAGTAAATTAGAATGAAATATTCAAAAAAAAAAGAAAAAGAAAAGAATAAAATAAAAAACAAAAAATTAACTCGTATCTCTTTACATAAGAATCGATTTGCATTTTAGGTCAAATCATCTGAGTTTTCCAAAATTTCATTAACTTTAAAATATTTCATTATTTTCATTTAGTTCATTATAAATCGAGATTCCTACGTAACGAGTTGTTGAGTACAAAGTAAATAAATTAAGCATAATTAGGAAGCAAATGATGTAATATTAGCAATATGCATATTTACATACCATTTGGAATAAAATTAATTTTCAAATAATCATTATATAGGTTCACTGGAAATTATATTTGAAACTAAAATTTGAAATCAAACAAACCAAAACGAGTGTCAAGTTTTTATTTTGTAAAGCATAAAAAAATAAATTAAAGTTAGAAAATAATAATAAGTTAGAAAATAATAATAATATTTATTTGATTGTAGAAACAATGATTGTACTTCGGTTACAGAATTATGGAACTTTGATGCAACCATATCATACCACTCTTATGCAATCTGATTATGCAAAAGGGATGCAACACCATAATACGGCAATGAGTTTTCGATTCAACATTATGCTATTACCTAGTAAGTTATTCCTATCATCTCCTACTTATTTCAGTCATTTGTAGATTAAATTATTTTAAAAAAAAAATAAATTTAAATTTATTACTTCAAACACGCAATTTACTTTTTAATAGTACGACTTTTTTTTTTTTTTTTTTTTTTAAAAAAAAAAAGGAAACAAATGATTGCTATAAATTTGAAAGTTTAACACATTAGTCTTTTCAAAATTCCAATTCTTTGTGAAATCTTATTTAAATAAGTTAATATATTGGATGATTTTTTTTTCAGTTCCACATAAAATATCTGAGAATATAACCGAGCAAACTCTAATAATAATAATACCAATAATAATAATTAATTAGTAATAATAATAA